CCCTGACTCTGTGCCAGCCTGTTTTCTGATATCACTAATTCTTTTATAATATGAACCAGACAATCTGTTTACGAGCCTCAGTAACATTAACATTCGTTATAATTAATTGATAGTGTGAATTTATTGATCGTTTAATTTTTAAATGAATTAGTTTTAGAAACAGATAAAAAGTGTATACACACACATATATACTAATATTTTTCGCATCATTTGTTGTTTTGCAAAATATTCTAATTTTACCATTTACAGTGGAGCATCGTTCGTCACTTTGCTAAGGAATCTGGGTCCTGAGCTCACTATGAACCTACTTCTGTTTGTTTTGATAGAGAGTAAGATTTTATTGCACTCTCTGCGACCAACAGTTCTTACGGAAGTGGCAGAGGCAGTGTCAACAGTAAGCATTTGTTAATCATAGCTTCAGTTTTTTTGTCTATATGTTTTAATTCCTGTTTTTCCTATATTTACTTTAACTCTGTCAATCTTGTAATGTGTATGCCCACTTATGAATAAGTATATGTGTTTCTCACAAAAATGTTTAATGTATATATGCTTAGCATTTATATTGTATTTATTGTGTATACATAAGCAAGGGTCAGTCCATAGAAAGCAGGGAGCTGTGCCACTTATTTTGCGAACAGCATCTGCTGTGACTGTTAAGTCCTGTGCAGGAGTGGCATTCTTTGCCAGATAGTCTACATAAAAACATTGATACTGATTTTTTCTTTTTTTCTTAGAAGTCTCCTCTCTATAGCCTGCTTCATTGGGCCTTTTTCAAATTGCAACAGTCTGTCTTTCACAGTCTGCCTCATTAGGAGTTGGTCTACAGCTGATTCCTACCATGTGTCTGCGTCAGTGTTGATATCTTTCAGGTCACGTATGCATGTGTCCTTAGAGAGTTGCTTTGGACTTCCTGCAAATATTTTCCCTGTTCCCAGTTCACCATGCTGGAAATTCTTTGAAGAGCGACTGTCCTCCATGCAGAAGACATGTCACAACCAGCGCAGGCGTCGTTTCTTTAGTAAGAAGTTTGTTGTGGCATTCCTGCTCTTCTGAGTACACATTCTTTGTGGACAAAGTCTTGCAATTATATACTAAGAATGCATTTCATACAATGCAGGTTGAAGTTTTCAGTCTTCCTTCTTGGGGAATTTATAAAGTCCAGGTTTCGCTGCTGTATTTTGGAGTGTGATCAGGACACTAGTTTCTTAGACGTTGATTATTGCCCTATACTTCCGCTTTTTGTTCAGCCACACTCTTTTTGTATTAACAATTATTATAGTATAGTATATAAAGCATAATTGCTGTGAAGGATTTTAAATGGAAAGGCCAGTTGATGATGCGCCTTCATGCGCAGTGTATCATCTTTGAAAATGCAGTTAAAATGTTCTGTTTTCTCCTGTCATGTTTCTAAAATGAGCAGCAATTATATGCATTTTATACATATATATGTGTGTATATATATATATGTATATGTGTGTGTGTGTGTGTATATATATGTTTCTTTGCAAGGTTGAAAATATATTTAATAATTGTGTACCTTTTCTACATCAGATGATATTCCCATTCCACTGGCAATGTCCTTATATACCGTTGTGTCCACTGGGTCTTTCTGATGTCCTGAATGCACCATTCCCATTTATTGTTGGTAAGAGCTTACATAGTTTACTATAATTGAATTAGAAAACCAAAAAAAAGTGATAGATTTTAAGACTACAGAAGTTAAATATTTTATCTTGAATTAAGAAGAGTATCGACTGAAATAAACTTATTAATTTTTAATTACTTTGCATTATTATTAAGTGTATTTACATAATATGTCGGCTCTGTGGCAAAGTCGATGAGAACGCTTCGTAATGCCGGGATGCCAGGTTCGATCCCAGCTGCGGGCCATGCGCCTTGCATTGGTTTCAACAGTGGTATCAAGAAAGCCGACCGTCCAGAAAGCAGTAGCAAACTACTGGACGTAAATTTGCCTAGAAAAACCACACAACAGCCAGGGGCTGTTTGGATTGGTTCTGCAACTTCCTGTAAAGGATACGCAACTAACCTATTTACATCATATAGCTTCTCTAGTTCAGAAATGTTGATGTTTAGTACTTTGAAGTGTTTGAGATGTGGTGTTATAGCAAGAAAGGAAATGTGTAGGACAGAGATTAGATAAACAGTTTCTGAAAGACGCTGGAGGAACTTAGATCACATCTACAAGAGATGAAGCCTTATTACAAATGCTTAAAAACAGTCTTACAACAAATCTTCGGGCCCATCAGAAATGCAGACAGTGGGGAAAGAGAGGGGAATTGAGAGTGAGAAGCAACAACAAAATTCATAATCTATTTAAATCACCCTTGATCACTGGCATCATGAGGAGTAATAGACTGAAATGGCTAGGGCATGTTGGGAGAATTTTAGATGACAGAGAGGTAAAAACTGTACACAAGGAAATTAAATGGTTGTAAACCACATGACAAACCAAGAGGATGATCATCTTCTTTCCTCTACTCCTGGAATACTTTGCAGCGTCAGGGCAGGAAGAGATCACAGGGACGGGCCCTTCTGTTTGCTTCATATAAAGTACTTTTCAGAATCTCTAATATTTCTGCAGTCCATGTTCTGCGAGGTCGACCTCTAGCTCTGTTACAGCTGTATCTGTATAACTTCGCTCTCTGTGGTGCCCTGGCTGATGTCAATCTTGTTACATGGCCAAACCATTTAATTTGTTGTCTACCTATAATGTTCAGTATTGGTTCTGTGCTGACTCTCCTCCTGATATCATTGTTCCTAAGTCATTCTTTCCTCGTTACACCTAGCACAGTATGTAAACATTCTGTCTTCTCAAGACAGTGTCCATGTTTAACACTGATAGCTGTAGACATTGATCACTAGTAGATTAATAGAAAGATCACTAGAAGATGATGGAGAGATATTATCCTGACAGACCTACAAACACTTATATACAGAAATATACAACTCTTACTGAAAAATGAGGCATGGCCGGTTAAGCGGTTTAGAACATGAGATTCTGTAATCCTTGGTGGTGATGGAATTTGTGTGTGTGCTGTCAGAGCAACAAATAAGATCCCAGCCTGTACAGTTCATGGCAACTGCACTAGCTGTATACAGCACACACTAAATCTGCAGTCTAAAGACCCTCCCCCACCCCCTCCCCAAATCTCTTCCCCCTCCACCTCTCCCTTTATACAACACTAAAAAAGTGGTACAAACTGTAAAAAACAAGGAATTTGATGAAAAAGCTTATTCTTCTCAGAAAAGTAATACTCTACATTCATTTAGTATTAATGAGACATTTTTGTAGTATATAAACGTGTACAATTGTTCATTTGACTAATTATGCCTCCAAACTCAGCTACAGCTCTTGAAACATTTGTTTATTCACAAGGTGTTGATTCTCGTTACTTTGACCTATATGACCCACCACCAGATGTCATTTGTGTTGATTTGGACACAAATAGAATTCACTTGTGAGTTAATGACACTTTGTGGTTCTTTGGTGCTAATTAGTTGCTTATTATTGGTGACATATTAGCAAATTAATTTAATTGACACTTTAACAACTATAAGCTATAGATATTAATCTCTTCTCTCTTTATCTTGCACTATTTTGTGTGTGTGTGTGTGTGTGTGTGTGTATTTGTAATTAGCCTCTATGGTTTCATGTTTAAATTTAACTTTAGAAAGTTTCCTGGGTTTCCACTGTAAGAAAGTTTACCTACAGTTAGTTAGTTAGTTAGTTAGTTAGTTACTTGGTCTTTCCTCTTGAGCCTAGGGCAGAGGTAATAGCTCTCCATGTCTGACAGCCTATTTTAGGTCTTGGATGTTCATGAGCCCATGGTTCAGGCTTCCATGATGCTGGTTCTACGCAGGGTCTCTCTTGGTCTTCCTCGGTTTATTTTCCCTTTCCGTGTCCATTTGAGGCCTTGATGGGGGAGTCTGGTCTTATCACTTCTGAGTGCATGGCCGATGTATTTTCAGCCGCACTTTCTTATAATATTGGATTCAGTAAGCAATTGAAATTTGCCAGTTTTCTGTATTATGATGATTTATTCCAGTACGTTTTTATATAAATTGTTTGGATGTCGGCAGTAAACGAAACTGGCTGGAATTGATCTAACATCTACTAGTGCTGTCACAATAATTTTAATCATACAACATAGGTAAAAAAATTAGAGTTCCAAATAAATATGGAATGTGAGCGAACAATGTTCGCAGTTTTCAAGTTGACTGTTGTAACTGACACAATCGCATAAAATACTGTAATCAGACTGGTGAGATAAAAATTATCAGTATAACCAAAAATAAATTTAACTTCAAATCAGTTAGAATGCAAGATAAATGTACATCCCTTACTTTCATTAACAGATAAACTGCAACAAACATTCTTATTTTTCTGAGTTCCATTAAATAAGTGTTCAGACAAAATAAGCAAAAATAAATCATTCCTGCTTGAACAAATGTCTGTAGAATTTATCAGGTATATTTAATTATGAATTAAGTTTATTACAAGCAAAAAGTAGTGATTTTGAATTAACATATCTTATGTGGTCTGATTTTCGTTCAATAGTGGAATTATTTTTGTTTAAAAAAAAATCAAATGTTTTTTGTACTCATCTCATGATGTTTTTTTGTACGTTTATTTACTAATATACTTTTGCTCACTTAGTTTGCATAGAATAATTATTTTGACCTTATTGTGCTGTCAGGTTAACTTCCAGTGTTCATTACATGGTTGTGTAAAAAAAAATATCTCTAATAGACAGAAAAAAAAGAGAAATATACATAAATAAAATGTGTACATAGGGTGAGCTGCACACTGTGACAAAGGGTATGATAACTTTGCATAAGCTGATTCACTATCTGTATGCTGTGGTGGATCAGGGGAAGAAAAAGAAGACATTTACATGTAAGACTGATTAACCCCTTGTTGTTTTTGTGAGATTATTGTTTTAATGACATTATTTAATATACTATACATCTTCCACCAGGCCTGAAGATAAGAAATCTTTGAATTTCAAGCTGCTGCCTAAGGTGAGTTGCTTATATTTTTTTGGGTTCAGTTGTTGGCACCTTTCTTTCTTTCCGGATGATAGTGTTTATATTGTGCTGTGAGGAGGCATGGGACTAGCAAGACCCACCCAAGCTGAGAAAAGTCTTCCACAATTATGGCATGAAATTCTAGAACCCTTGTATTTCTTTAGTATGTTTATTTTCAGACGCTCAACTCTCATCTTTCTGGAATTAAATTTTTCTCTTCATTCTCGCTTCTTCCCTGCTGTGCCCCCTCCGTGCAATACGGTTCATTGCATTTATTTGCTATGAATCCATCTCACTGCCTATATCAGTGGTGTCAAACTTGCACACATCTTTTTATCATAGTAGAGGTCGGCCTCTACATCTTCTGCCCATCTGTAATTCACTATGGAGGATGTCCTTAGGGACTCTACCTTCTCCATTCTTCAGATGTGACCCAGACATCTGAGCCTTCATAGACTTTTTTTGGTGTGGGTGTTTACTATTACCTAAATGAAAGATTGAACTTTAACTGACAAGGAATGTTTGTAGATTTTAATGGTTCCTGGACACATTCAGTGGTTAACCCACTGACTGTCCACATCGCAGGTTATACGGCAAGGCGATGTTCACTTCTTCTTGCCAACTAAGTCTCAATCAGCAGTTACACTTTCGGTAGCAAACACTAATGCAGCAGTTTCTGATAGTTCTAGTGAAAATATTTTTTCAGAGCCTGTAGCTTTGGACAATATTGTGTCTGCACATGATGAAGATATCACTGCTGTGATTGATGCAGAATCATCATCATCTGATGAATCCGAAGAAGATTTGCCACACCGTCCCACTAGTTGATGACTGACATTTTGATTTGCAAGGCTTTCCTAAAGTAACCCCATTTACAGTAGAAAGTGGGCAGTGCGTGTAGAAAAAAATTAATATAAGAATCCATAAATAAAAAGGACCCAAACATTATTTTGTTATTTCATTTGTGCAAAAATAATAAATTGTTTATAATAGATTTGATTTAATTTTGATTGTTGTTGTTTCATTTATGCAAAAATAATAAATTATTTATAATAGATATGATTTAATGTTGTACCCTCCTCAGAAACCAGCGCGTGTAATGTATGAGTCTTTAACAAGGCTGTATGAGAAATCTAGCCAGTCCAATGCATTGAGAAGTGATGACGTTGACGAGTTTTCTGCAGCGTTGACACATAGTGATCAGGACTTCAAACGGAAGAAACAAATTGTAAGTTTTAGATTAGAGTAGAGGAGAAGTTTACAAATTAAAACCACTAAGCTGCAGAATTATTTGGGGGAAAAAAGATGACATTTTTAGCTTCTAAACTAATTGACTATGAAGTCTTATAATTATAATATCTTGCTTGATACCGATGTCTGCAACAATATTTATCGTCCTATACCAAGTAATGTTTACCATTCAAAATTATTATCTTGAATTTGCTTAATGTATGCTTTTCTGTTTTTCAGTGGGTTTAATTCAGCATAAAAATACCTCATCTTGCAGATTTCATGTTACTAATTAACAAGTCCTGCCTACTGCATAGGTTCATTATTAACTTTTGTTTTTAAAAATAATTGTCCACAAATGGTGCAGTTATTTTTCTTAGCACTTTCCTAATGTGGGCTCCATTGGGGGGGGGGGGGGGGGGGGGGGGGGGGGAAGATGAACCTGTCCCCACACAAAAATGGATGACTTCGAAAATCTCCCTGTCTAGACTCGGGAGCTCCTTTTTTTTGGTTGGAAAAAAATGTTGGGGGGGGGGGGGGGGGGCTGGATGATGTAGCAGCAACTAATTAGGTGTTTGCTGAAATTGAATGTATTAAGCCAAAAGGTATAAATATCTCAGCCTAGCTATAAACCGTAACACAACATGGCAAGAATACATGCAGAAGAAGATTGGAGTAAGATATATAATTTGATTTTCTAGATGTCTGTCCCTCATAGTCATTTAATAGTCAAAGTGGCAAATATTGTCAACACATTTGTTTGTGTATGATTATTCTGAATGAGATAAAACAGGGCTATTCAGCTAAGTTTACTCAGGGACAAAATGTTGAAAATGGGGATCGTCATGGGCAGAGAAAGATCACTAATGCAACACAGTTGGCAATGATCCATGGGCCATTGGCTGAGTCTAACTATATGGGCCAGATAGGGCATGGGCAACCATTTGAATCATCATCATTATGTGCTGTGCCATTAAGTGTAGGCTGTCATGTTTCACCATCTCACGCGATCACCAGAATCATTGATCAGTTCAGTGTTTTTGTCTCGCCTCGTCCATCTTGCCAGGATATCCAGGTATTTCTCTCTTTGTCTTCCTCTTGCTCTCTTCCCATCAATCTTGCCGGTTGTTACCAAGTTCCTAAGTCCATTCCTTCTCATAATCTGCTTCAAAAATATTGACTGTCTACATCTAATCGCTACATCTAATCGTTCTAACAAGTTTATGTCTTTTATTTATCTGTTTTGTTTTTCTATCTTTCTACAGTTTTCTTTGCATTCTTCTCAGACACCACATCTCTTCCGCGAGTAAATGTTTTTCAGCTTGTCTACTTATTGTCCCGCAGAATAGAGGGAATAAAATGGTATGATAGAATAACTAATGTAGAACTTTGGGAGAGAACTAAACAGGCTCCAGTGGATCAGGAGGTGAGGAAAAGATGCTGGCATTGGATAGGGCACACACTGAGAAAACAGGAGAACAGCATAACTTGAATGTCTTTGCATTGGAACCCACAGGGGCATAGGAATAAAGGAAGGCCAAAAAACACATGGAGAAGAGAGCTGGAGAATGAGGTTAGAAAGATTGGGAGGATATGGGGAGAGCTCCATGCAATGGCGAAGGATAGAACGTCTTGGCGTGAGTTGGTTAAGGGCCTATGCTCCATTGGGGGATAGAAAGGCAGAAGAAGAAGACTTATTGTCCATGTTTCACATGCACATGATTAGTACCTTTCCGTCTTTCCAGACAATATTGTTATATTGCACTATGAGGAGGGAGGGGACTCACAGCCCATGGCGATAGTGAGTGTGACTAGCAAGACCCGCCCGCATTGAGAAAAGTCTTCTACAATTATAGCATGGGATTTCAGGACTGTTATTGTCAACATTTGTGTTTAGTCCATTTTTTCTCAGACGCTGAGCTGTCACGATGTGTGGAGGGGGGCACATCAGGAAGGGAAGATGAAGGAAGAAATTATTGCAGAAAGAATGAGAGTACATGCTTATAACAGCACAGATTCTGCATTACACTTAAACAGGCTTTTTCTCACTGCAAGTGACATCTTCTTATTAGTGAGAATCTTTTTCATCTTGCTAAAGGCCACCTTTGCGCTGACAATTCTTATTCTGATTTCTGCAAGGCATCTTGCATCAGATGTTATGACTGTTCCTAAATAGTTGTATCTATTGGTTTACTTAAAAATGTTGCTGTCTGCATATATTTCACATATCGATATTTCTCTCTTCTTGGTGATGACTGTAATTTCCATTTGAACAGCCAAGAGTTAAAGCTCAATTGAAATTATAGCTCACACAGAGTGAAGATGACTACTGTCAATGGCTTATAGCTGTGAATGAGTCAGTTTGCTTTTTAACACTTTATGTAGGCTTTGTGTTACTTTTCCCCATTTTCTGTTTAACAGACTCAGTTAGAGCTTGCCATCCAAGAAGTATTCCTGAGATTCACAGCCAGCATGCTCAAGGATTACAAGAGCTTCCTCAACCCCATCATGAAAGCTCCTAACAAACGAGCCACAGATGCCTCCTCATTGTTCGACATGCAAGGCTAGTTGCACACATTATCATCATCATCATCATCATTATAGTTGCTCCTTTATGAGTTCCGGGGCTTCATTTTGAAGAACAGAGAATAGATCCCCTGCCCTCCTAATAAGCATGTGGTAGGAGGTGATTGATTAGGGGTGTTTCTTTCAAAGCAGGAGTGCATCTGCCTGAGAGGCAAGGAATCAGCAGTCTGCATAGAGGTAAACCAGGTCTATCTGTAAAATGGATGTGCACACAAAACACTTATTCTGGATCAAGACCAATGTCCAGGAGTGGACAGACAACTAGAACTTTCTGCCAGTTTACAGCTGGTGAATGTGGAGATGAAGAAGATAATTATAGTCCCATTACACACTCTATTATTAGTTTACCAGTTGCTGTTGATTGTCTGGTCAGTTTCCTCTACTACTGTCAGTCAGATACAATGGTCTTGATTGATGTTTGTAAGTTTTGAATCCTGTCCATTCAGCCAAATAACCACTTTGATTTTGGATATTCTCCTTTATTTGCTTTTTTTTTTAAAAATAGTTTCTGTTACTTACTTGTGATGTTTTCTTAACTCACTTTTACTTTTGATGTTTTCTTGTACTTACTGTTACTTTTGATGATTTCTTATTCTTACTTTTACTTTTGATGTTTTCCTTTACGCTTGCTTTTGATATTTTCCTTTATTTACTTTTACTTTTGATGTTTTACTTTACTTGTACTTTTATTTTTGGTGGTTTGCTTTACTTACTTACTTTTGATGTTTTCCTTTACTTAATTTTTTTTAACGTTTTACTGTTCTTATTTTTATTTTTGATGTTTTCCTTACTTTTTTTAAAAAGGTTTTCCTTTACTTACTTTTACTTTTGATGTTTTCCTTTACTTACTTTTTTGGGACCTTTTCCTGTAGTTTTACTTTTGATGTTTTCCTTTACTTACTTTTTTGGGACCTTTTCCTGTAGTTTTACTTTTGATATTTTCTTTTACTTACTTTTAGTTTTGTTGGTTTCCTTTATTTTCTGTTACTTTTAACGTTTTCCTTTACATGCTTTTGTTTTTGATATTTCCAGGCTTCCTGAAGAGTCGGGACAAAGCCAACACCAAATTCTTCCAGCAGCTAATGCACACTCAGATGTTTTTTAGATTTATCGAAGTCAGGTCATTTATGTCAGACAAAGATGCTGGTCTCACTTTTTTTGATGAATGCACAGAAAAGGTAATAGCATTTTACAGTGGAGAAAACTTAAATTTACATTGTGCAAGGGGCATTAAGAAAGTAACGCAGTTTATCATTTTCTGATCTAATAGTAAGATAAAGGCATACAATTGTGCACTTTTAAAATATGGAATGTGCCAATAGCGCGTACTAAACTGCATTGCAGTTGGTCAAATAATACAGCTGCCCTGTACCATCAAAATGGAGCGTGTTAGCAACATATGTTAAAATCAGTGAATTGTGATCCAACTTTTCGTTGCAGAGAAAGAAACTGTTATGAACATTCACAATCATCTATATGATGGGTGTGGAAATTTTGCAGTAGACAGGAATACAGTCAGTCGCTGGGTTCAGAGAATCAAAGGAGAAGGAAGCGGAGATGCTTGATCAGCCGCGCAGTAGATGTCCTGCCACCAAGGCAGAAATGTTGAAATGCCCTGAGGGCATTATTCTGACTGACCGGCAAATCATAACTCGGCATTTGGGCGTACAGCTGTCAGTGGTAGTGCAAATACAATTGTAAAAATCAGATAGGCAGGTTATGCTTGATTATTTGTTCTAATCCTCATTTTTGAAGTGTTGATTTTGTTTACACTAGCTTATGTTTAGGTTTGGGTTTAGATGATGGATGAACATCATGGCATGAACTCCGTAGCACCAGCGAGGATCCTGAAATACTTCGGGTAGATTTTTAACTCCCAAGTTTTGCCCGAGCAGCGCCTTTGGGCTACTCTTTTTCGATTTCCAGCTGCTAAGGGATTTTTTACATGCACTACAATACACACAGGTGTCCAATCTTACTACCCAGAGCCAGAGGAAATTACTGGAAGTCCAGATTCTAGTCACACTAGGAGACCCAGCAATGAGAGTGACTTTTATTCCTATTGATGCCTCGATCTGGTGTAGGGCCTCTACTTTGTTGCAGGAATGCATCCTAGGTCTCACGACTGTATGCAGCATATAATAGAGGCTGCATACAGTCATGAGACATAGGCTGAGGATGCAGAAAGGGGGGGGAGGGGGGGAGGTGAGTAAGGCCCAGTTGTACATGTTGTGAGACTGTTTAAAGCAGTCACAGCATAGAAGATGCGATATCGCCGGCCGCTGACAACAAGGTGTAAAATATGACTCACTACGCCTGAGACCCCTCTGATGTAGTACAGGCGCTACACCAGATCTTGGTATCAATGGTAAGGGATGTCATTGTTGTGTCTCTTATCGCCACATGTACCGAAGTCCTTGTGAAAAAATCCTATCCTTTACCAGGACTTAACGCGGGACCTCCAGCACTTGAGGGAGTGCCATGCCTTAAGACCACGCAGCCCCCATATACACTAGCTAACTTTTCAAAATTGGTACTAGCCCATCTGACATGCTGCTGTTTTTATCTTACTCCTTTCACATATAATTTGATTTATATTTCCTTATTATGTTAAGTCAAAACAGCAGCAATCATATAGCTAAGGAAGCTAAGGGAAATATACAATAGAACAAGACTGCAAAATAATTTGTATACTATGATTTCTAAAATGGACACTATAGACTGCATGGGAAAGAAAGCTTAATAAGAAAATAAAACCATCTGTTTTGTCTTTGAATATACATTTTTTTGCTTTATGGTTTAATTACACTCTTTAGTTTGTCTCATTATATCTTATACGAGGGAAAGTCAATAAATAAGTCACAAATGGTTATGGGTTGGCAGGAAAATGTCGTTAGTGGTTTTTAAAGGTGTCATTAGATGACAGCAACATCGAACTTCATGCCTTGACTTGTTAGGTGACACTGCATTCGCAACATAGAAACAAAATGGCGACTGTACTTTCAGAGTATACTTTCAAAAAATAAGGTGCTGTTTTGCAGGTTGGGGGGGGGGGGGGCAAAAGGGCCGCCTGCAAAGGACATTCATCATAAAATCTTCCTGTTTAGCTGACAGATGTTAATCTTGTAAAGTGGTGCATAGATTAGTAAAAAAAAAAGTTTTGTCAAGGGCACTCCAAAATTGTTAATGAAGTCCCATCTGGTCATCTTGTTGATTTTGCAACAGACCCATGCAGTGGGTGGAGGAGATGATTAGAGGTGACAGGCGAGTAACGGTTGACTCTGTAACAGCTGCAATAGGGTGCTCACATGGTTCAGCATACAACATAATTCATGATCAATTGAAATTTTGGGGACCCAGACAATTGACAAATGAGCAAAAAATGAACTGATTAGGCCTGTCCTTGCAGCATCTCTGTCGATGTGCAGATGGAGGAGGAGACATGCTGAACATAATTATTGCTGGGGATGAATCATGGGTGCATCACTACCAGCCCGAATTATAGCGTGCTTCAGTGCAGTGGAAACATCCATGCCAAGGAATGCTTTTAATCAGTTTAAAAAAAAAGTAGTGACAATAATTCGTACTGAAAAGTTTTATCGATGCTTTATGATGCAGTTCAAAGAAAAATTCCAGGCCTGCTGACTAGAGGAGTACTGCTCCTTCATGACAATGCCAGACCACATACAGCTCAGTTAACTCAGGAGAAAATGAACCATCTAAGGCTGGAACTTCTGGAACATCCACCTTACAGCCTAAACTTAGCCCCTAGCGGTTTTGGGGGAAACATTCTGCGCATGATGCAGAAATTAAATGTGAAGTAAAAATGTAGTTTGGAAAACAAAGCACGCAGTTCTTTGCAGCAGGCTTGGAAGGACTGACAAAATGATGGGATGAGTGGATTAATGTTGGGGGAAATTATGTTGAAAAATAAAGGGACAGTGTATGTGTAAAAATAAATGGTTTTCAAGTTGTCATCATAATTTTATTTTTTATAAAACAACCGTATGTGACTTACTTATTGACTTCTCTTCGTATTATACTTATGGTTTTTGTGCGTTTTGGTTGTTTGTGTGTGTGTGTTTAAAGCCCAGGGCTGCCAATAAACACAAAATGTAAAATATTTGACATAATTTTTTTCACTACAGGAGCAGTACTCTGACATTTGCCAAGAGAGGCCAATCAGATGGATTCATCCTGCAATGATATCAGCTGTGTTTAATCAAAGCAATATTTTCTCCTTGTAAATTGGAATAACAAAGACACAAAACAGTACATTGCACATTGCCTGCCTGTCAGTAGGGTACTAAGAATTTTGTTAACAAAAAGACATGGTCGTGAATCTGTGTTTGCCTTAGTAAAACGGGCAGTTGCCTTTGAGTGTGGTTGATTTTATATTAAAGGTAAAGGATTCACTTCCATTTAATTAAATTTTTTTTTTTTACTATTATGCACCTGATAAGGTATAGCGTAGTATGCAAGGCAATACAATGTGCAGTCTTTTTAATCATATAAGTGCCTTACTTGGCAAATATTTTTTCAATTACTGAAATTTTTAAAAAAATTTATATTATTTTATAGGTTGATGAAATGAAAGATGAGCCACGGTTGCTAGAAATTGATAATTCTCAAGCAAGGTAGGTAGAAAAAAGAGATCGGAAGTAACTTGTCAGTGTGAAACCTCGTTACCAAAAGGACTGATACCTGTGAGAATGCCATTTACTTTATGTGACAGCTGTGAGAATGCAAAGTCCCTCACAACTGGTATTTGTAAAACATAGATCAGCATATTGACAAAATTAGAAACTTACCCACAAAGATGTATCAAAATTCTTACCAGTCCTATGCAGGATGTCTTTTGCTGAAAAACCTAACATCAGGTTAATAAAAGAAGATTGGAACAGAGTATGACTTCCTTCCTCACTTATTTGAACCTTTTCTACTCTGCGGTGTAAAGGTTTGCCACGGTTCTCTTTGAGCAGTTTCTTTTTGGCTTTTTTCCTCTGTCAGTCAAGGAATGCCAGATTTTGTCTTCCAAGCAAACCCTGATTTGCTTTGGAGGTCTGGTTCTCTGATTCTTGACCTTCCATGCCTGCCATGGTGGCCAGTTCTCTCCCATTCTCCACACATGTTGAAACCATTGTAACTGTTACTGATCTACTTGAGTTTTTAAGGCCTGGGTTTGTGACAACAATGAGAAATATGGTATTTCTTTTTTGCATTATTTGGGTCTGTGGAGGCATAGTGGTTGATGTACTTGCCTGCCTAATTGGTGGCCGAGGTTCAGTCCCCAGCAGAGGCAATATTTCCAACTGGTACAGCTCTGGGGTTTTCCAGAAAGTAAGTACAAAACAATCTTCAGCCATTCTGGAGGTTGTCTCTGGGAAAACTAGGGGTCTCTATGGCAAAATGGTCAAGCCTTTTGCATCGTTCAGTTCACAAGTGCAATTTTTGTGGAGATCCCTGGAGATGGTTCCTGGAGCTTATAGTTCATGTTTTGAGCTTTGGCCGATGGTCAGCCATTTTGTGGAGAGAGACTACTACTTCTTCTTAGTCTTCAGGGCTGTAAACTTTCGCAGAAAGTTTGTTCAGGTTGTTCGTCCACTTCTGGACTTTGATCGTGTTCCAGGACTTGAGCTTTGCACGAACATCTGTTCTACAGATCTGGCTTATTCACATGCAGACTTTTGATTCCTCATCTCACATGCTAATGCACTGCAGCTTCGAAAAAAATACTTCTGGATAGTTGCCTTTTACGACTTACTTGTTAGGGTGCAGTAGGTCTGCTCTCCTCCCCCCCGCCAACCCCAGATGGGAAATGGTGGCTTGGAACCCCTTGCGGAGAAGAGAGAGACTGAGCCATGTTGGAGAAAGCCCGTGCATTGATCCAGATTCTCCTGAATTTAATTTCAACTACCGTTTTATGTGAGCCTTTACCATTTTATATGAGCGGCGTCCGTGGCTTAAGTGTTGCGAGTCTGACTCGTAATTCCAACGTACCGCGATCGAAACCCACTGCTGGTTGTGTGGATTTTTATCATGGTATGGGGCATCGCAGGTCCACCCAGCCTAAAATGGGTACCAGGATGTATGTCCTGGGGAAGTAAAGACGGCAGGCATAATGCTGACCACATTACCCACCTAGTGCGGATTGGTCTGAAAAATATGGGTGCTCTTCCCATATGCCCGATGCGCCTAAAGGAGTGAAAAGGGATCTTTACTTTACCAAGTTATGTGCTGTAGTGTGCTGTATGGGGGGTGGAAGGTCTTTTAGTTATTAAAAGCACCCTATTCCCGGCATTCGGCACGCTGAGCATATAGTGCTAGACCTATATTTTGTAGACTATTGTGTACTCTGTAGGTGATGTGATCAACATCACAACCGCTAACTCTACTTCCCAGGACTTCACCTGGTATCCATTTTAGGCGGGGTTGGCCTGGTAGCCAAGGTTTTTTTTTTTTTCAAACATCCGGCTCAGTGCAAATTGGAGCCTACAACTTTTGGGCCCGAGGTGAACGTCTAATTGCTAAACCACGGCAGCTCCCTTTTAGGTATATTATTCTTATATCTCACATTGTTAGTTATAGTATTGTATTTCCATTTTGCAGTGAAAGGACCGTTTTCATCATGCCCCCTGAGCCTGTTGGTTTACCTGAGGGTGTCAAATACAGGTGAGGAATCGGTTACAACACCCTTCACCATTTGTACCCATATGTAAACACAACTTGTAGTTTATGAAAGTGTCATTTCAATAGCTTAATTTTTGTTTGATAAACATATCATGTGTCATCCATAACAGTAGAAAAATATTTTATTTTTTATGTGTGAATATGTTTTAAAATTTCATTTGAATGTTTTTTCTTTACTTGCGTCTCATTAAGAAAATTTGCACTTTTGAGCTGAAAGGCTCCAGAAGGAGTATTGGAATCTAGAATGGATTTCCCTCTCACCCCCCCCCCACCCCCCCCCCCCCCCCCCCCCCCCCCCCACCCCCCCCCCCCCCCCCCCCCCCCCCCCCCTTCCCCCCAAGTTATAACAGTCTTTAATATCTTGGGTCATTGATTGCCAACAATGGTGACATAATGAAAGAAATTAAACAACGACTATCAGTTGCTCTTCAGTGACTAAAATAACTGAATAAATAAATTTTGGAGTGGGACAGACAGAACTACAAAAATTAGATTTCCAAGAGCATGTGCCTGGACACTTACTAAACAAGCTGAACAGTGCATAAATACCATTGAATACTAATGTTATAGATGGGTTCTAAAAATATCATGGGTAAAGAAAAGAACAAATGCATCCATACTTCAAGAACTGAATATTGAAGAAGTTTGGATATTAAAGACGATAAAACACAGAAAAGTCAAATATTTTGGTCACTTGAAATGTCATGAAAGTTCAGAGAGAAAAATAAATGAGTTGTATATGCCTTGGTAGAGAGGAATAGAAAGGTCAAAGAGAAGATGGGTGTAGGATGTGGCAGATGATCTTCAGATGGGTGTATCAGAGGTGGAATCAAGACAATTTCTGGAGGGTTGTTATGGGAGCAAAGTTGTGCAAGGCACATGCTACTGACTGAGAATGGATCTAGAAGTAAAAAGTTACTGACATTCTAAAAGATCTGAACATCATGGAAAGAAAGATGGTGGTGGGGGGTACGGCACTGGATAAGAGAGGCAGGGGCTGACCAGCACAAAAGTGAGCACAAGATTTTATAAACCGCTTGGGGAAGTAAGTGCATGAGGGACAGATTCTTTCATGCAGGCTGTGATGGTGAGTGATGAAAGGTAAAAAACCTGCTACCTGATGACAATGATAGTGTCTCTTGTGTATTTTAATGCCTGGTAAACAGGCTTGAATATTGTTCTCACTTGTTTTTATGCATATATAACTAAACAGTCAGGGTTGATTTATTGTTACATTTGGCTCCTCTGCATTAATTGTGAATAATCAAGGTTATCATTCCTGTTGTCTCTTAGGTGCCCAGACAAGGTTGCATTATTGTCATTCTCATTATATTAAAAAAACAAAAAACATTTGGCTCCTGTGTATTAATTGTGAATAAACAAGGTTATCATTTCTTTTGTCTCCCAGGTACCCAGACAAGGTTGCGTTATTGTCATTCTTATCAGATTTTGTTTTTATACAGTAACTCCCGATATGGGTATCCTGGCCCCTTTTTGGATTATAAAAGAATAGACTTACTGCCCCTTTGCAAACATGATGTAAAAGATGACCAAATAAGGATGTCCCGAAATGAGATGTATTAAGCTGAAAGGTGTGGATAACCCTGCCAAGCTGTAAACCACAGCTCAACGTGCTAACCACTCTTTTTTTAAAGGCAATTGCAGAAGAAGAGGAATTATGCATGAAATACACATAAAGTAATTTTTTGTTCCTTTACTTTCAGTAAATATTAACTAAGCACATCCACATGTGGGTTCTGGGGCCCCATTGTGCGGAAAACAAGAATAGACCCACTGCTTCCCCAACAAGCATGTTGTAAGAGTCGACTGATATGAGACTTCCTCTGAAGTTGGAGTGCATCTGTCTGAGAGGCCGGCAACCAACAGTCTGCACTCAGATAAGTCAGATATATAAAAAAGAAGTTCATGCAACATTCAGGTTCTGAGACAAAACTAAAGTCCAGAGGTGGATGAACAACCAGAACTGTCCGCTGGTGAATGCGAACAAATGGTCTTGATTTTTTCAGACTCAGTGTTTCAGTTTTTTTTCCCAGAATAACTACACATGAGCATTGTAGATTTGCTCTTTGTGCCAGATAAGGTATTGGCCTTTTGTAATTTGTTCTTCAATCATTCTTATATTTCTAGCTATAACGGATTTCCAGAGTTGAAGTCAGAACTATTTCTGTCAAAGAAGAAAAGTTTCATTGCTCTGCCATCTAAGCAGCAGTGTCCCAGCAGCCCACTGGCTCGGCGAACCAAACAGGAGGTCAAATCTGCACAGAAGGTACGTCTTTAACAATCACAGTTTAACATAAAACATCATGAGCTTTGTTTGTTGTACAAGGGAGCTTCAAATAAAAAGCTTAAAAATATGGCAGAAATTACAGTAACCATGCCATGTTCTTGTAATCTTGTCAGTATTGTTGTTAAGAATGTTAACATCATTGTGCAGACGAACATGATGATGTTGTAATGTCAGTTTAGAGATGACCACCTCACATTTGACATTCACCGGAGAGGAGCAGTGTTCTTTTTATCTTTTTTTTTTTTAAATCAGTGAAAGGGGTTGAAAGCTGTAGAAATTCTTTAACGAATGAAGGTCCAATACGGAGATACCTGCATGTCAGCCCAATATTGACCGGTTGCAGGGTTGTTGTAATTTTTGTCACACTTTTAAGGATTTCATCTGAAGCCCTTTTTTGTGCGTAGGTGGAGCTCTATGACTTAGAGGTAAGTGAATAAATTAAAAATTCATGATTTTTGAGTAGTATGGTTTGATTTTTGTATTGGACGGTTTATTTTTAAAAAAAAAAGTCATTTGTGGGTTTTTGTGTGTCTGGGGGACAACATTACAAGAGTCGCACTGTGAAAGAGAATAGAGCCTCACAACTCACAACATAATGCTCCTAAGGACAGCAATAGGTATACTGTAACCAACCTTCACTGTGGTGATGGCCAAAAAGAGAGAGGTAATGAACATATTATACTTGAAACTGTCACTTAGAGTGAGTGATCCAGTCTCATATTATTGGTGGTAAACTCATAATAAATGCATATTTTAGTGTATTCAATCAGTGTGGGAACCTCTGTGGTGTAGCATCTAGACGTTCGCCTGTGGATCCAAAGGTTGGGAGTCGCGTATTGACCAAGCTGTATTAAAAAAAAAAAATTACCTTGGCTCTTGAGTTCAAGTTGACTTGATTCAAGAACTGACATCAAAGCACTTGGGGCATTCCCATAAGTGCTCCATCCCCATCTTCAGCAGCCAGTGAAGAGTTCCGATGCTAATGGTGCCAGTAGCATTCTGATTAAACTTCCGTATTGCCTTTCCTCTGAGTCTCTAGCATCTGCCAGAACCTCACATCGCTCCCCGCTGCATCAATCTCACCCGACTGGTGATCCATCTGCTCCTCCAAACTGTACACCCTCTCCCACAAGGCACTAACCACGTCTGCCTTATCATGCATCAGTATTCCACCAAGTTGTGCAGAGCCAACCAGTCTGTCCGCTTGTTCATTTTCCAAAACACCGGTGTATCCGGGGAAAAAATCCAGTCAGTACCCCTCACCCTTGTCCTCGGCAGTGAAGCATGCCACTCTACATGAAGCATGCCTGTACCTTGGCTCTTAGGTCAACCCAGCTTTAAATGTGTACCAGGTAGAGTCCAGGGAAATAAATGCAGCCGGCATAATATTGACTTCATCACTCACCATGTAGGTAGGTCTAGCCCTGTATGACCAATACACCTAAAGGCGTGAAAAGAGTTATTTTAAATCGTTGTGAGATTGGGGTTACATTGCAGAAATCTATCCTTTCAGTTGCTGTCTATTTCTTGATGGGCCACAAATGGAGCAGGTATTGTGATCACAGCTGTCTACTTCTCCCTATTATTTGATAGTTGAATAATATTTTAACTCTGTTTATATGTTATTGGATTTATCTTTAAAAATCCTCTGTTACAGATAGCAATGCAACAAGTGGGAAATCCAAAAGCATGGGCAAAGTAAGTATCAGTTATGAGTTGGGTTATCTTATGGACACTACCATTGGTTCTTAGATTTCCCCTTCAGCATATACATCATATAATTAGTATCCCATGGTTAATAGTGCTACTCCTGTGCTTAATGACAAAACTTTTTTGTCTATCCAGTTTGCCTCTCATGCCTGGCTGGGCCGATCTTTACTCAGATTCTTAGGCGGGATGTAGACAAGTTGCTCCCAAAACACGCTTCTCTTAAATTAACCGATTGACTTATTCTCTAAGAGTACAACCAGTGTCGGCACAATCCATAGGCCAACCAACTGCAACTAAGGCAACACTTGCCAGTCTGTCAGCTCTTTCATTGCCAGTAACACCTACATGCCCAGGGCAAAGTAAGTAGTAGTTATTAAAAACATGAATGTTATTTTTATGTTATTACAGAACACTGGAAACTAACCCCAGCATTTGTTGGTGGTTTATGGTTCCAGGCAGTTTTTGTTGTTGATGTTTATTCATCATCAATCCAGTGCAGTCTCCATAATAATGGTTGACTGCAATGGATCTCCAGCATGCTGTGTCTCCTGCCTTGGTTGTACAGTCTCTCAGACTGCTGTTCATTCATCCCTCGAATATTTTCCTCCCACTTGTATCATTATTCAGCTCTTGCCATCTTACCTACAGTCTTTCTCTTCAGTAAAGTTTTTAAAAGAGTATTGTGTCTTTTAATGTGGCTAAAACATTTCAGATGTCTCTTTTTTATTTCTTTCAGTAACTCTCTTTTCATTCACAGTCTTTCTTGAGCCTTTGTGTTTAACTGTTTTTATTTCCATGAAATGCAACTTATTTTTCTGTATATCCACATTTTCATTAGTTACTTGCGTATCCTTTACAGGACATTGCAGAACAACCCAGCAGACCTTGGCGGTTGTGTGGTTTCTCTAGGCAAATCTGCGTCCAGTAGTTTGCCATTGCTTTCTTGACGGTCGGCTTCTCGATACCACTGTCGAAACCAACGCAAGGCGCATGGCCTGCAGCTGGGATTGAACCCGGCATCCCGGCTTTACGAAGCGTTCACATCGACTTAGCCACAGAGCCGACTACATTTTCATCAGTTTGTCATTATTTACAGAATGGCCTACACTTATACAATTTTCGAAATAAATGCAATGTAGTCTGCTGCCAAATTGTCTACAGCTGAATCAAACTCAGAATTATGAAGTTGTCCACATAACCCCTTAGCTACATATACTGAAAAGTAATAGATGTGTATGAATATGATTATCACATGTGTACATATATTTATTTCAGACAGGGCAGTGGAAGATTGATCATCCGTTACTGATTGCCTTGTTCAGAGTTATTTAATTTTGTCTTATGTATGTATATAGTAAAAGTAAATTACAGGACCCCTTTTACACTTTTGAGAAGTGGCTGGCTGAATGTTTGAGAATGCTGGGCTGTCGCGTGGGAGACTCAGGTTTAAATCCTTGGCTTTTTTTTTCTGCTCGGGGGCAAAAAATAAAATTCTTACCTGCACAGTATGTGGCAGGTGCTAACCATTCAAGTATAAACTCCAGGATCAAAGACCCGCCATGCCTACACAGCAAATGTAGTAAATACAGGCTAAAGAAGCAGTTTTTTTTTTCTCCATGCTTTGCCACATCTGGTATTTAGTATTAGACTTTAAATTTTTGTAATAGACCAGAAGGCACTGAATGGGTAATATGGTTAGCACTACATCACTTTTGTGTCCCAGGACTTGACCTAGTACACATTTTAGGCTGGGTTGGCCTGAAAGCCAAGATCAAACAGGAGAAAATCCTCTTTGATGAAGTTTATAACCTAAGCCCTTTGGACATTAGGTAAATGTTTAGCTGCTACTTCATTTCGGCTCCATGCACATATAGTAGAATCAGCTACATTGATTTAGCAATTTAATGTTTATATACTGTGCTATGTGTTGTGAGGAAAGATCAACTTACAGCGGTAACAGAGCCAGAGATCGGCCATGCAGAAGATGCACTGCAGAAATATAAGAGACACTGAAAAGTACTTTATACGAAGCACACAGAAGGGCCCATTCCAGAGATCTCTCCTTGCCCTGATGCCGCGAGGCATTCCAGGAGTAGAGTAAAGAAGATGATGATGAATTCAGTGTAGACATCACTACAACATTCTTGCATATCTGAAGTAAAGAAAGTAAAAGCATTAAGTAAATGTTCTTCTCCATTGTAATATATCCAGTTTACATGTTTTTTTAGTGTGTATTTTCATGTTTTAAAGATTTATATATACGAAAACGATTGTTTCTACCTCAGGTGCCTGCTTAGTTACTGCTACAGCCTGTGGTTTGTGGTATTCCCTGCCTTTGTACAATCACACCCCAAGAAAACTGAAGCTCTGAAGATTGGCTTAGCAGTTCTGTACAAAATGCAAGCAGCAAAGCTCATGACTATTGATGAGGTGAACATTTTTTTAATAGCTCTGATGGTAATGTTTGTATTGTTTGTTTTTATTTAATATATGCACAACTCTTACAATTTCTTGATCCTCGATGCCCAGACATTAAGTTTTTGTGATTTGTTTTGCAATTTCTTTTATTCAAAAAATGGACTCTTATTGCTTTCGGATACTGGCTTCACCACCTGTTATTCCTAAAGACAGTGCATATTTATTAAGAAAAAAGGAACTGACTGTCATTAATCTAACTCTCTTTTGCAGCTGTGTTACCTTAATCTAACTCTCTTTTGCAGCTGTGTTACCGTGTCCTGATGCAGCTGGCTGGTCAGTATAACAAGCCAGGCATGGCTGTTCAAGTATTCTCTCAGATGAAGAAACATGGAATCCACCCCAATGCCATCACATATGGTTACTACAACAGGGTAAGTACTTACCATATTTGTATGTGTGTAAGACGATATGTTATCTCAAATTTTTTAAGTCTAAAAATGTGTGGGAATCACACAGAAAGTGTTTACAGTATTTATACGGGTCATCTTACACATGGGGGCATTTTATACGCGGAAAAACATGGTACTTTCAATCATCATTGTAGGTCCTTTAGTCCTTTGCCAGCTATTCCATCTCATGAACTTTTACGTCCAGGGTGTCCTTGATATCATGTGTCCACCATTGTGCTGGTAGATCCCTGATTAATCTTCTATTCCAGCTATATCCTCAGTTACTGTTCTGGTTCTGCTGAAACAGTTGATGTTTAATTAATCATTATTTCAATGGTTCTGAGAAACTGTTCTGTTAATGAGCCATCCCTGTGTTTTCACATCCTGAAGAATATCATTATTTTGCTGCTTCTTGGTCAGTTTAGAAAAGATGTTTATTTAAGGTTCAAAAAGAGAATAGAAATGGCTAAAAACAGTCTCTCAAAAGCATGTGGAAAATATTAACATCTAGATATGGTAAACAGTACATTAAAAATTAGAATTCTTTTATGTTATGTGTATTTAGCCCTACTGTGTGGGGTACCTGGACAATGAACAGATACCTAGAAAATTAAAATGAAGTCATAGAGATGTGGACATAAAGGAGAATAGGTTGTATTTCGTGGAAATAAAAACAAATGCAGAGCTTTCGGACAAACTGAAAATGAAAAGAGAATTGTTGGGAGAAAAAGGACAAATTAAATATTTCAACCACATCATAAAACAATTTAGGATTTCACAATTGAGGGTAGGTAAGAAAAGGTTAGTGATAGAAGTGGGAGAGTAACATCTAAAGGTTTAGTGATAGAAGTGGAAGAGTAACATCTAAAGGTTTAGTGATAGAAGTGGAAGAGTAACATCTAAAGGTTTAGTGATAGAAGTGGAAGAGTAACATCTAAAGGTTTAGTGATAGAAGTGGAAGAGTAACATCTAAAGGTTTAGTGATAGAAGTGGAAGAGTAACATCTAAAGGTTTAGTGATAGAAGTGGAAGAGTAACATCTAAAGGTTTAGTGATAGAAGTGGAAGAGTAACATCTAAAGATGAATGAGCAGCGGTTTTAGAGAGCGTTCAGCCAGGATGAGAATTTTAGAGATCCATTGCAGCCAGTGTTCAGTTTGGAGGCAACACCTGGTTGACTGCTGAATGTTTTTTGAGTAATGTGAAAGTTATTGCACATGTTAACTGATTTTTAATTACAGCTTTCCCCATTTGGTGGAGGGGGGAGAGATAGACTTATTGCCATCTCACAGACATGTCATAAAAGGTGACTAATTAATGATTGCTGAATGAGAAATATAATGCTGAAGGGTGCTTATATTGCAGCCTCGCTGTAAACCACAACTTGACAACTGCCTTTTTAAAGGCAAACACAGAAGAATAACTGCAACAGAAGAAAAACTGCAACAGATGAAGAAGAATTGTAACAGAAGAATAACTGCAACAGATGAAGAAAAATTGCAACAGAAGAATAACTGCAACAAATGAAGAAGAATTGTAACAGAAGAATAACTGCAACAGATGAAGAAGAATTGCAACAGAAGAATAACTGCAACAGATGAAGAAAAATTGCAACAGAAGAATAACTGCAACAGATGAAGAAGAATTGTAACAGAAGAATAACTGCAACAGATGAAGAAGAATTGCAACAGAAGAAGACGTGCAACTGAAATTTGTTGAAAATAGATTGCTATGCCATGCTAGAAAAATGCCAAGGTAAAACATGTTCATTCCTATTTCAGGTTATGTTGGAAGCAAAGTGGCCATCTCCAAAGTCGAAAGGTCACTTGAGATGGTTGAAGATTCGTAATGTTATCATTGGGATTGCTCACTTCAGACGTGCAATCAGACGCAGGAGCATGTCCATCTACTCCAACTCTGGAAGTGAATTTGACCGGATCAGCCACGCTAGTGTTGATAGTTACCTCACTGAAGCTCAGATCGGAGCAACAAAGACTGAAGCTGCAGATGTCAGTCCCATATTGTTGCCTAAAGATAGCATCACTCCAGTGGAAGATGGTCTGAGCAAGAATAGCAGTAGCCTGGAGGAGCGAATGAGTACAGGTTTGATTCCCTTTTTTTTCTTAAAATATGTTTTGGTAATATGAAAACAGTGAATGTTGGCTGCTGTGTGCCCACTACTGTCTTTAAGCGTATTGCATGGTGAGGCCGCTATATTTTTGCGACTCTCATACCACTCTTTCAGAGACACAAGAATAACCACACCATCTGGCTCAGAAGTTGAACCCTGGTATGTAAAAGTTTGTGAAATTTGTAAACACATTTACAAACTCTGAGTCACAGAGTTGCTCTCCCTGTCCATAAATTTCTGCTAAAACTAAAAATAATTAAAGTCTAGACACTAGTTTAGTTGAGCAGTTTTTTCTTCTTCATGTTTTCTAATCAGGGTTACCTCTGTTGTGTACTTTGATGTTTGTTGACTATGCTATTCTACACATGTCGTAATCTTTGACCAGGTGGTGTGTCAGATAGGGGCTACAACTCTATGACAAAAGAAGACGTGAAACGTTTGTCTCAGAGTGCTGTGTCGGCCGATGAGAATGGTAGTGCCTCTTCATCGGCTGCTAGTGAAAACTCTGACAGACCTGGCAAGTCAAAACCAGACTCCTGGAATCCTATGAACTTTAGTTTTTTGTATAGTGGCAGCAACAGCAACAAATCATCAGCAAAGTTGAAAAAAGGTGAAAGACATTGCATGTTTGAAAACATATATCCCTATTTGTATGTTTTATCTGTCATGTTTTACCTTATTTAGTTTTACTGTGTTTACATAAAAGTGATATGTTATATGTACAGATATCCCTAAAGTCATGACACATAGGAAATTAAGCATGAATGTCCTGAAGTTGACGGCAGTGTGGATTTATTACACCATGTTCGTGTGAATTCTGCAAAGCGCTTACAATTTTCGCATCACAAGTGATGGAAATCAAATTGAAGACGTTATTTAAAATTCCAGTTTAATAACATTGTAAAAAATTTAATTTCTTGAATTTATTTATTTTTGCCTGTATGTCCAGGCTTTAGGGCACAACACATTTTCTCTTAGTGGGTACATTAAAATCTCATTAACACTTAAGGGGTCACTACATGAAAAATTTTTTTTTTTTATTTACAATGTTAGACCAATTATTTTATAATGGTCATTTGTAGGGATGTATGTTGATACATTTGTACACTTCAAGTTTAAAAAAACATGGTTGCCATGGCAACAGCCGCCAACTTGATGAAAAAACGACATGTACTTAGTCAACTGAAATTTCAAAAACAAACAAAGGTATTGAGAAACAGATGATTGATTCATGAACTTTAAACCTACGTTTAGGAACTTGTCTAGTTTATTTACTTCAAAAATGTTTCTTAATATTTTTTTTAGAATATTAAAATTTAGGTATGTTGAAAAAATACAAAAATGTAGCTTTCTGAGATAATAATCAAATTTAAAAACAAAATACTTAATAAACTATACTTTTAAATAGCCATGTACCTTTAATATTGTGTTAGGGGTATCCACACCAAATTTCACGTCTCCAGTCTTTATATTAGCTGAGATTTTAGGAGATCCCACACACAACAAACAGAAAAACAGAATTGTTAGAAAAATGACTTTTAAACTTTCAAAGTCACTTAAAATATAATTAATAAAGAAATAAAGTGTTCTTACCCTGTCTGTTGTATTCTGCATCATATCCACAGAAAATGTCACATAAATTTAACAATTAAATCCACCAGCAACATAGGTTATGCCTTCTGTTACATCATGCTGGTGTTCTTGTTCGAGTCGCCGTTTTTTCTGGTTTTTCCTCTTCCACTTCGAAAGACTTAACGTTTGTTTTTTGGAATCATAATACTTTCTCTTCAGCATTCTTGTAGCATACAAGTTGTTTGTAAGTCCCCATTCCAGTCCCATTTGGTCAAATACCATTTTCAGGCCTATAGGACCACAGTTGAAAGACAGAGTGGCAAGGGAAGTTGCTGTCTCCACTGCTGACATCGAAGCAAATGTTTGTTTTAGGACAGCGCTGCCAAAATCAATGCATTAAAGCTTTCATTGGCATTCTGAGTGCTCATTTTAGCACAGCGTTGAAGAAGATCTGGGTCTGTCAACCTTTTCACAACAGGGTAGATGATGCTGCCAACTTGCGAGGAAAATGTTGGCCGATGTTTTTGGTGCAAACCTGTCTTCATGGCTCTCTGGAAGTGACACCAAGAATTTTCACCCTCTGGACAGAGTCTGTGGTTGGGTGCCTTGTCAGTGCTCATCATGTGGAAGAATCCACCTAACACTCCCTGCTTCATTTTCTTCACATCAGGGGCATTGTCTTTTAAATTTTTAGCATAAGTGTTAGTAATTTTTTCAATAATGGGCTTTGTAAGTTTGCGATTTAGCAACTGCTTATTGCTTTTTTTCAGATTCTCAAGGCCATTAAACATTCTTTTTGCAATGTGGTTAATGCAGTCTTCTTTTGTTATGTCAATGTCATAGCATTTAGATTTTTGCACTTCATTAAAAGCCTTTGCATCACCGTCACAGAGCATAGTGCCATAAACCAGACTTCTTTTCTCAACTGATCTTGAAAATATCATCCTCGCTGCCACCGTCTCCATGGCATTTGAAGAACAATCTGCATTCTTCTGACATTCAGATTTATGCCTTTCCATCCAGTTAAGAAATTCAGGTGAACTTGGCTTTGGACCACTAGCACACATTTTGCAATAATGCTAATGACTTGCGTATCCAGAACGAGACCACTATCAACATCGATGGCAACCCCGACTCCATTGTGCGATGAATGGCCTCGCTTCTGCCATGTGCCATCGTATGATACAGTGATGATGGGGCACCCTGTGTCACTGGCTTTGTCTGGTTGGTGAACTGCAGTTGCTGATCTTTCTGCAACAACAGAAGCTGCTCGGCACATTGCTTCCTCTGCTGCTTTCCTGGCTGCAAGGCTCACACTTTTTGCTAATGTATAATATGTTGTTTGAGGCATCTGATTTTCAATATTCATGACAGAAAGAAAAGAATTCAACTTAGCATAGCCAATGCCATTGTCTTTACACCCAATGACTGCCCTATAGTTGATTTCATACTGTTTGTCAATTTGTGGAGATGTCCAGTCTGACCACTGTGACTCACAATCTGGACAGCAAATTTCTATAAGGGAGGCCAGACCATTTGTCTTTTTCGTAACCAGTTGTAAATTATTACATCTACAATTTCTGCAGCCCACTGCAGAGACAAGGGAACTGAAGAAACGTTGATTAATAATTGTGTAGGATGAAAGGTCATAGTTGGTTGTTTCCCCAGTCAGATTCTTGTTGTTGTATACTTCAAACTTCTGCTGTGCTCTACAACAACTTTCTGAGTTTGCAGTTTCAGCAGCACCTTCAGTACCCGTAGGCTCATTGGTGTCAGCATCCAAAGTAGAGCTGGAACACAAAAATAAAAGAAGCATTAAATTAGCATCGATCACATTACCAGCATGGCATTAATTTAATGGTGATCGAGACGAAATAAAAGCGAAACGTGAAAACGACATCATAAATTTAATTTTAGAAGTAGAAAAATTACCTCAGATTCAAAGATTCCCTAAGTTTCCTTGCATGAATTCCTCTAGGCTTTTTATATCTCTTTTTTGTGTCCAAACACAAATCCTTTTCTTGTCATAATGAAAGCGTATATAATAATCTTAATTAAAACACCAGCCGTCAGAACTTCAAAATGCGATGGAAATGAATCAGCACAACAACAAACAACATTGGGGAAACCCACGCTCTGCGCATGCGTAGGATATTCGTCGTCAAGGAAATGTCTTATAGGTACCAATCAAATGCTGCCAAATAATAGAGCCAATGAAATGTTGGTATGACTATGATTCTATTAGTTTCGTATATTGTTGGCAAAGCTCGCAGGTGCTTCCGTATATAGAGAAATGAAAAGGTATTTGGACGGCGGTAAAAATGATATATAACATGCCCTATAATAATATTTGGAAACAGCTGTTGCTATGTGTCAAACATTGCTATTTTGTGGTACAACATTTATTTTATCCCAAAAAAATACATGGGGTGGTGTCTTTAGCATCAACTTTTCAACGCTATATTGTTCACAAATGACACAAATCTTGTATGTAATCTATTCTACGAATGTCGAACTTTACAAAAACGAACTAATTGAAAAAGTGATATTTTTGTCACAAATTAACAAAAAATTCCATGTAGTGACCCCTTAAGATGAACACTCAGTTAATGTGAACAAAATATTGATCCCTGCAGGGATGGATGTACATGTATTAGTTCCTGGTTAGCAGTAAAAAAAAAAATACAAACTAGAGTAAGACAAACACTCACACTCAGTAAACATTTAATACAGTTTTGGTTCCAACAGCGATGTACGTGTTTTAGCCCCCAGGTAGCACTGTTTTTGTGTGTGTGTGTGTGTGTGTGTGTGTAGGCATGAACTCTTGATTTTTTTTTTCTGTCCATCGGAACTCGGGTTAATGAGGTTTTTCCTGAATATTGTAATTCATAAAAAAAAAGGTGTTAGTTATATTGCACTTTATAATATAATTTCTGAATTTATATGTGCTTTCTACAGCTATCCATTGACTGATTTCTGTTGTATTAATTAATTAATTAAATGAATATGCAATTCATTATAATGTAAATATGTGTGAGAGTGTATGTGTGCACATACGCACGCACACACACATAACCATGCATTTAACACTCAGTCATACGCTAGTATATGGGGGTAGGGAGGGGTAAGTGAGTTAAGTTTTCGGTGATTCAATTCTGTAAACCTGTTTAATTACAAAGAAGAATAGAAATATGGTGGACACAGAGTTTTTCCCTGTTACATTGATTTAATTGGTACAGAAGTTTGTCAAATGAATATTACATGTTCCGCCGATGTTTAAAGTTGATGGATTATGGTCTCTTTCAGGGGTTCACATTGTTGAAGACAATATCAATCAACACATCCGTAGAACAAGAGGAGGGAGCATTGTGAAACGATCTTTCAGTACTCCTGCCAGTAACAAAGATGATTTTGAGATGCTCAGAGGTTCCTTGTGTAAGTGATTTATCAAACTATTTGATTAGCTGTCTTTGTATGTCAGTTAGAATTAATTATGTGCCAATTATTTTATCTTATGACCTCGTTCCTGATTGTTTGCCTTCTGATCACTGCTGCAGCCCTTCTCAGACATCTCATTTCCATGATTACTAATTTTCTTTTTTTTGGGCGGATAGCTACAACCTCAGCAAGGGGGGAGGGAGAGAATATACCCTCTACAACACCCTTAATAAGCATTTTATAAAAGTGAAATTATCAGGGGTGTTCTCTTTGAAGTCAAAGTGCATATTCCAGAGAGGCGAGAAACCTGCAGTCTGCATACAAATAAGCTATATATGTAAAATGGATGCGCACACAACACTGAAATTCTGGAACCAGAATAAACCTTCATCCAACTCACAATCAAGTCATCTTTTCTTTTGCCATCACATGCAACCCACACCATGTTCACCCCATCTTTTCACCTCATCAAATTCTCTCCTGGAAGTCCTATTTTGTCTGACTTTATTTCTTTTCATAGTTTTTTTTTTGAGTTGGGGTTTTGTATAAAGCTTTACAGGGTGAGGTAATCAAGCCTCATTATCATCATTAAGTGCCTTGCTGACTGGTGTGGGTGACATCATTTGCCCCTCTGCAATCTGCTATCTTCAACTGCATGTATCAGTTGGTGTGCTGACACTTCTCCATGCCATGACAGAAGGCTGTCAAGAATCTTCTCACAAGCCTACCCCACTTATGTCATAACTGATGACCAAGAGTAGGGTTGGGCTGGACAGCCTCATCCTGTATAAAACACTATAGCCACAGAAACCACCCAGCTATGAAAAGAAGTAAAGGCTGACCAAAAACACCCGGAGAAGAGAATTTGATGGGGTGATATAATACGGTGAGCTGCAGGTGAAGGTAAAGGATGCAATGACTAGTTGCGAGCTGGTTGAGGTCCTATGCTCCACTGGGAGATAAAGACCCCTTGGCAAGCGCTTGCCCTAGTGGGCGTAGTGTTAATGTTCTTTGCACTCCTAAAGGGTGTGTGTAACATACAGCAGATGATATTGCTTTTTAGCCTCATAAATCTGTAATTCTCTGTTGTAGGTTTAAAAAAAAAAGGATCCTTCATTTTCACAATTGGCCCATCAGGTATTTGAGTCTAGACATAATTTTTTTACACGAGTCAGCATTCGTTGGAGAATGAGATTAACTTCTGGACAGCGGGGTTGACTCTTTTCCGTACCAAGCAACGCCTGCTGTGGGAATGAATTTATGCCTTGATTCTCCTTCATAGCATAAAGCGTTTTTTTTACAGACATTTCGTCAGAACATACTAGAGAAATCTGGTTTCCACCAATGGTATCTACCACTGTGTATTTTGCCAGTTTAAAGGTATAGCATTTATTATTGTGTATCATGAATAATTTGTCACTTTGGAATCTCCTGTGAACCCTTCTGGTACCCAAAGAGTTAACATCACATTGCAAGGTCAGTTCTCTTTTGTAAAAGTAGTAAGAAAATAGTCTATCATCATCATCATCATCATGCAGCAGTTCCTTAGCAGAACGTCACTCCCATCACGGTCTGCCTGAAAGAAACTCGGTCTCTCCCACCTAGTATACTTTCATATTCAAGGAGTCACTTATATCCTGTGCCCATCTTCATGTTGGTCAACCCCTGCCCCTCCTACCTGATACCATGCCTTCTGCTATAATTTTTTTCCAATCCGTCATGGCATTTGATATGACCAAAATATTTCAGCTTCTGAGCCAAGATGCTGTTTATTAGCCAATCTTCCCTGATGTTGAGATCTTTTAAAATGTCAGTATTTCTTCTCTTCTTTGTACATGTTATTCTGAGAATATTTCTAGAGCATTTCAGCTCAAAAGCCCCTATTTTAGTTTTTAAGGACTGGGTCCACGACTCACATCTGTATATTGCTACAGAGAAAATGCATGCTCTCAGAATTGTAATTTTTATTTTATTGCTGGTATTTAACTATTTAATGCTGTTTAATCTTTGTATTGCTATAACCATCCTTCTATTGATTTCTGTCAAATAGTCTCCATTAAATAGTCACAAGGGTAATGTATTTGTTTCTTTGGTCTTTGTTTACAGTAACCAATGCCTGCGGACTGGTATTCTAAGTGAAGCCAGCCTGAAGAGGAACTCCTTCATCTTCCCTGATTCAGACTTGCAACTGCAAGTGGAGGAAGCCAAACGGCGCAGGCATCGTAGTGCTAGTGCTGGGGAGGACCAGACCAAACCTGCTCGTTCCATGAGCTTGTTTGCCAGCTGGAGGTCACCAAAATCTACAGCAGCTGCTGATGTCGTTAGTGATGCAGATGACAAATCAAAGCTGACATTTCGATACTCAGATTTGATAAAAAATGAAGAACTAGACATTTTGAATTTAAGCGAGTCAAATGTTGTGAAAGGTACAGAAGGTGTTTCAGGGGATGGCACCAGCTCAGATTTGTGTACCACTAGATCTGTTGTGCAATCTATTGTTGAGAATGAACCAGATGTAAGCAGGCCTGTTTCTGGCCAATCCTCTGATACAGTCAGATTAGAGAGCCTACATCACCTATCAGCGATGTCTTCAGAACCCTGCCTTTCTAGTCATGTTCAGACCAATGCAGCTAGTGATAACCGGCCAGGGGTCACATTAGAGCCTGATTCTCTATCAGGAAGTTTTAACACAGACTCAAAGAACACTTGTGACTCTTTATCCATTGTCATAGTAGCAAAATCTGGCACCTCTAGTCATGGAACATTGTTACAAGACTCATCTGGGCAGGCAGCACATGCCATTCTGGACAGTAAAGGTCACAGTTGCAATAATTCATCTTCCGATAGAGTAGAAAACCTGGAAACAAAACAAAGTAATGACATTGTTTATCGTGAAAGAATTGGAGATAACTCTGTCACCATTTTAGACAGGTCTGACATCCGACGCTCAGTTTCTATCTCCGAGGACAAGCTCAGTGATCAGCACTTCAGTGAAAACACTGTCAAACCATCCATTGGTGGGTCAAGCCACACTTTAAGTTCTCCTGGTGGTGACTTGCCAGTGGAGATCCGAAATCCATCCAAACAAATTGCAGAGGATGCCCAGTCTGTGAGCTCTCTCACAGATAATAAAAAAGATAGGCCTGCTGACTTTATGCTAAAAAGGACGCAGAGTCTTAAAAGAACAAATGAAGCAATAGGGAGCTACTTAAAATGGGCATCTCGGGCTGCATTTACAAAATTGAACGAGTTGAAAGAGACTATAACAACACCATTAAGGAATGGATCTCTGGGGTCTCTGGGTTCCCTAAGTTCTCTGACCCATTCTGTTGAGGAACTAGATGTTAATGATGGCAGCAGTACAAGTGGAACCATCCGTGAACGTTTGCCACATAGAGGTAGCCAGGACCTGCTGAGTCACAGTGAGGAAAGTGAAACGGAGGAAACAAAGAAACGATTGTCCAGCTTGTCTTTTGGTAAGTCAAAGTCTTTTTCCATGATTCATTTTTGTTTTGATGAAGATTCTTGATAGCCTTTTGTCATGGCACAGAGAGATGTCAGCATGTAAACTGATACACATGTTTTTGAAGGTGTAGAGAAGCATGGATGCCCATATCAGTTACAGTGCAATTGATGCTGTTATTGGTTGTTTAAAACAAGCTTTTTTTTCTAGCTGTTGCATCTATAAGAAAACAAAAATAAGATGTCAAAGTGTGGCTATCCCCCGACAAACGGTCGGCAAAGATGGCGGCGGCAAAATATCCAGCCGAGCCCCGGTCACTGGGTCATTGCGCGCTTCGGGCTACTTAATTTGCGGTCTTCTGGAGGTTTTCCGCCAACAACCGCTACCGCCATGTGGCCCCCACGCCGCAGGGCTAAACTAGATGGCTAGGACTCACGAGCAGCAGCTTCCGCATCTCCTGCAGCTTTGCTCCTGAGTCCTAGCCATCTAGTTTAGCCCCAATCCATGCGGCGTGGGGGCCACGTGGCGGTAGCCATTGTCGCTGGAAAAGCGCACATGAAGTAGCTGAAAGTGCGCAATTGACCTGTGACCCCAAGTGCGCAATGACCCGTGACCGCGGCTCGGCTGGATATTTTGCCGCCACCATCTTTGTCGGAGGATAGCCCGAAGTGTTTAAAGAACTATTTTTTTGCCTGAATATTTATGAGGTCTAATGTTTTTGGGTCACGTTGCTTGCAATGTTTTTCAGAGAGTGTGCCTTCTCCATCTTACTTGGATGACTACAGTTGCTTAAGGGAAGGTCCCAGTAATGGAGTAGGCCCATTGACAGATAAGACGGTGGAGGAATTAATTAAGGTAAGAATTACTCATTATCATCATCATCAAGTGCCTTGTTGATGTGCGACCATGCTTGTCCAAAACTTGCCATCTTCAACAGTATATATCATTTATGTGATGACACGTCACTGCCAAAACAGCTGTCATAAATCTTCCCTCATTGGCTTCATCTCTCTCCAGAAAATGTTTATAGTTGCTATTTGTTTCACATGTTCTATTATAATAACATTTCTCCCCAAAAAATTATGACTCTCTTTTGGATATTTATGTTAAATTTCATTTATCTTAGTCTTTTTCAGAACATTTAGATTGCTTATTTAAATTTTCCAAGAATTTATTTCATTTAGCATTTATTTTTAAGATCACATCTGTGATGCCTCAAAGAACATTGTTTCGTTCTTGATTTTATTTTGTTAACCAGTTGTGCAGGATTCACCTCCATTTGTTAAAACTGCTTCTGTGTGACATGACATAATTTTCTTTTTACCTTCAGTGAGATTAATATCTATTCCTTTTTCATTATTATTAATTTTTCTGCAGGTCAGTTTATTTTTAGACAGAGTTCAAGTAATAAGTAACTTTAAAAAAATATTAACACCATCAGACCTTTATTATTTTGTATTAGTCCTTAACTAGATCATTCAAAACCTTTTGTGTCATCTTTATGACTATAAATACTGTTAATCTAATCTAGTTTTGCTAATCTTGTACCGTCCAGTGTCAAGATGATATAGAGGAATAGTTCTTCAGTTACATGGTCGGCTTCTCTTTTGATTTTACTTAGTCTGTACATCACTGCATTATAAACATTGCTAATGATTTCTTATTAAATATGAATTAAGTATATGAATTATTTTAATTTTAAAACGCTTTCTTTCTGCCTAAAGGCTGTATTGTTTGTTAGGCCATCCTGTCTATCAACAGCCCTTTCTCGCATGTACTGTCTGTGATACCTTGCATTTAGAACACTTATTATTAAAGTGCACACATATGCCAACTTACCAAACACGTTTATTACTGACCGACGTTCGCTGATGTTAACATTTTAAGTGACCCGAACCTGGATTAAAAGATGTGGAAAGATTGTACACTTAACTTGATAATGTGATTTGTGTATTTCATTGAAAAAGGATTCATTGTTGTGCTTCATTATGTGTTGATTTAACCCAGTAGTAAAGTTTTTTGTTTATGTTTTACTTCCTCATTATGTATGAATTAAGTTTAAGGGTCTCCTTGGCTAAGTGGTCAGTCCATTTGCCTCGCACTCTGAAGGTTGTGTGTTTATTTCTTGGTGGGAGCATTCGGTTTGCAAATGTAATTTTTACAGAGACCCCTGGGGGTCATTGCCAGAGCTACAGTGTTGTGCTTTGGGTGACACTCTGGGCAGGCAGCTAGCAGTTCTGCAGAGGTAGAATAACACATGGTACAGTGAAGTTGATTCTCTCAACTTGAGCTTTTATATGAATAAAGTAAATGAGCTATTTACTTTAAAAACATCTTTCTTTGATCTTAAAATGTGTATATTATAGCTGCTTATATGAGTCACTTTCTATATCCTCTGCTGTGTCTTTGCTGACACACAAGGCATTCACAAGTGGTTTCCATTGCTGTCATTCTGTCATTTTACATTCTTTGTCTCCCTTTCTGCTGTCCTTCTCCACATTTCCTTAGCTTCTTCTTCTTCCTCTTCTTCTTCTTTCGTTCGCCTGATAAAAGTTGTCTGTATCAGCAATTTTGTCTCTTGTATAAATTCCACTGTTTTTGTTAATTCATTCAGTGGTCCATAGAGTTTACGTTCCACTGTTGTTCTTTCTGGCCAAAAGGTTTGCCTTAATATGTCAAAATCGGTGCAGTCCTGCTCTGCTGTCTGGGGCACCATTCCACAGCTGCGCATGGCTGATACGCCTATCTTGAATTTTGTGTACATGTGGTTACGTAATCGGTTGTGCCCTTAGCTCATTTACATCACCTTTTCCATCTGCCATCTGCCAGAGAGCTGTCCTTGCCACTGTGTCACAGGGCACACTCTGCAAATTGTCCAGTCCATCAGATTCTCTTTTTGATACACTGCTGGTAATATACATTTTGTTTTCCTCTGCTTTATTTTGGGTCACTTTATTTTAATGACAATTTATTTGAACACCTTAATTTTAAACGGTGATATGTTTTTTCTAAAGGTGGCTTTGGAGGTTGAGATCAGCTCATGCTCGCGTTGTACAGGGTGTAATCATCTGATATATGACGAGGAGATCATGGCTGGCTGGTCGGCGGAGGATTCTAATCTTAACACCAGGTATAGTTTACCTGTATGAAGGTATTTCCTGTAGTCCCTCCTTTGAATGAACATATTTTATTTGATGGAATTGTTTGATGGTTATAGATTTAGGAAGAATTGACATAACTGTGACTGGGACAAGCCTATACGCAGTTTATAATTTGTATAACAATGAATTCAAAAAATGCTAAGTTAAAATGTATGGGTTTTGTGTGTATTTTTTTTTTTTTACATCCAGAAACGATAAGTTGTTAACCCTTTGGCTCAGTAGTATGGATGTCGCAACTCTTCGGCCTTGTTTCCATGATAGATACCGTAAATCTGGGAGAAAAAAGGCTTTTCTGCCAACCCCGGGTGGGAATCTGGACCACAGGGAAATTGTAACCCGGTCACTGCGAAATCAGGTTTAACCGACTACGCTAGTGAGCTGGGCATGAAAAAAGCGTTAAAAATGTTTAGTAGTACTCATTCTATTCTTGAGGGGAATTGGCTTTTTGTTGGGGGGGGGGGGGGGGGGGGGGGGGGGGGGGGGGGGGGGGGGGGGGGGGGGAGGGGGGGGGGGGGGGGGGGGGGGGGGGGGGTGGGGAGGGGTGGGTGGGGTATACTGTTTTCATACATTTATTAGTATATATGTAAACTGCATTTACATGTTCGTACATATTCGTCATTGTGTAAAGACTTCATTATTTTTTTTTCAGTATTCAATTTATTATTTAATACATTTAGAAATATAGTAAAATCTTGTTAACACAAATTCCAAGGGACCTAAACAGAGTTGTCTGCGAGACCAAATTTGTTTTATGTTAACTGTGTGTTTTTCTTAAACAGTTTGTGTTAATGAGATTTTTTAGTACTATTATTCTACATTTCTATATTAAATTTTAGTTGCCCTTATTGTCAAGCCAAGTTTGTTCCACATCTGCAAATTTACATCAAGGTATGTGTTTTAGAAACTTAGTTAAGTATAGTTTTTCAATGGTGCTTAAATGTTAATGTTAGAATAATTCATTAATGTTATCATTGTCTAGCTGCTTAAAATACTTTAAGAGATACAATGAAACCTTTTGTGACAAGGTTATTCAAGTTGACATTATCACAAATTGGAGATATGGTAGTAAAATTAACCCACTTCATGTCTCTAGTAAAAAAGTAAAGGTCTCTTTTCCATGCCTTTAGGTGTTTTGGAATATAGGGCTAGACCTATATTTTTATAGACCAATCAGCACTTGGTGGGGGAATGTGATCAGCATCAGGCCGGCACTTTTACTTCCCAGGACTGCACCTAGTAATCAGTAAAGGTTGGGTGGAGCTGGGAGTCAAGGTCATTTTTGAAAAAAAGTCCACCTCAGTTAGGACGTGAACCCACAGCCCTCCGATCCACAGCCATCAATGCCACACGACTCTCCCTATATGTCAGTAGGAAGTATTGTATTGGATCCACAATTTTCTGTGGACTGTGTATTTACATTTCTTTTTTTTTTTGAGGGAAAAAATAAGTTTTTTTTTCTGTAGACTGCAAATATTGTATTTTTGTATTCCAACCCCCCCCCCCCCCCCCCCCCCCCCCCCCCCCCCCCCCCCCCCCCCCCATTCTGTGGACTGAATAAATGTGTGTTTTCTGTGGACTGAACACATTATATATGCACATATATATATATATATATATATATATATATATATATATATATATATATATATATATATATATGTTAAGGACTGTATACATTTATATTTTCTAAGGACTAATTGAGTAAATGTATATTGTCTGTGGACTGTTTGTAGATTTTGTGTGGACTGCATAAATGTATATTTTCTGTGGATTATAATTACGTTTATGTGGATTATAACTATGTTTATATTTTTATATGAACTGTGTGAATAAATGATTTTCTGTGGATTCTAGGTATAAACATTTACATTCTGTGGAAAAATCATAAACAAATATTTTATGTGGACTGTATATAAACATTTATTATCTGTTGACTATAAACATAAACATATATTATCTGTTGACTGTATGCAGAAACATATATTATCTGTTGACTGTGTACATAAACATATATTATTTGTTAACTGTACACATAAACATATATTATCTGTTGACTGTATACATAAACATATATTATCTGTTAACTGTTTACATAAACTTATTTTATCTGTTGACTGTATACATAAAATTATATTATCTGGTGACTGTATAGATAAACATATAATATCTGTTGACTGTATGAATAAATGTAAATTTTTGCTACTCAGGACTGGAGAGGAGAAGCAAACCCAGTTGTGTTCAGCACCGAACATGGCTGTACAATGACTGAAAAGTTGCTTGCCAGAGGCAGTCAACAGCTGGCATTGCATAAAGATATTCAGATTACAGCAGAAGCAAATGAGAGAACACAAAGCCCATTAGAGAAAGGGGACTTGCCGTTAACCTTAGAGGAAGCTTCTAAAATGTCGCTGAGGCGATGTACAAGCGAGTGTTTGACAATGGCCACTGATGATCTGCTGCCGACGAGGGCTTACATGGATGGTCATGCTCAAAGTTCCCGGCGTTCACCGCTGACTCTGTCCATAGAGGGAGAAAAGGATTCACCTAATCCACTTGTGCTGGCAGATTCATATAGTGTGAAAAAGGAGTTCATGATAAGGTTAGTTGAGTTTTTGTGTGTGTATATGACTCCTGTTTGCTGTTCTCAGTGAGTCAAATCAGGATCTATTTCCACAATGAATTTTGGCTGCCTGCACAGTCAAGATTGGCTGTAGTGGATTTTCAAAACTGTTTATGTTCTTCCTCTGATTACATGTAAGTTAGTCTGCAGGTCTTCAAATTTGCACATCAAATCATTAATTATCTGCAGATCATCCACATTGCACATCAAACCATTAATTCCATATGTGCTTGCATCCTCACTGCACATGGAGCTATTCAGTCTAGAAGCACTTGGATCCTCATTGCACACGGAACCATTCAGTCCAAAAGCACTTGGATTCTGTCCTTAAAAAAACCCACTATTATTACTCTTCTTTGGCTTTTTGCATACAGGTTTTTAAAAAAAAGGGGGTAAAGTCAGGAGATGTGAACCAGCGTCATTGCACACGGTTATAAACCATAAGTGCTCTGCCACCAGTACGGACAGCTGTTAAGAAACTGTCTGCCTGTGTCGCCGTCCGCACGCAACTTCTTAGCTACAGCGACGTTACTCCATTTACCCCAGAGTGTCAACTCTGGTACCCATTTCCTAGAGGCTGGGTGAACCCCGGGATTCGTCCGGTTTTGAACACCAGCCGTGGGCTGCAGCGAGTCGCAGCTGCCTTGTATTCTTGTTTGGCTACTCCCCTTTTAACTTGATGTTCTTGCAGTCTCACCATGGTTGTAGATTCACATTCATCACTTGGTTCTCACAAATATTTTACTTCTCATAGAGCGTTCAGTATATCAGCCTGGTATTTGGCTCATCAACCTTCCCCAGGAGCCTTACCCGCAAGTCCGTCAGCTAGTACAAGGAAATGAGCAAGCTCTGATTGTATATTCTCTCATGTCTTGGAACAAGACCAAAGTCCAGAAGGGGATGAACAACCAGAAGTTTCCTCCTGAGCGTACAGCTGGTGAACACAAAGAAAAAAAAATTGCTTTTGTTGCCATGAAGTGTATCCTATTTATCCTTTTATCACATTTCCAGGGCCTCACTTTGTTTTTCATACTTGCTTAGTTGCTTCTCTACTACCTTTTGCTTTGCCAGAGATATTACCAAACTTCTGTATCAGCAGTTTTCTTTTTTTTTTGCTTTGTTCCCTTCCAGTCCTTTAACAGTCAGAGACTGCTGGATAATTTGACTTTCTAATTGCTTATATAGCAAACGTGAACAGATATATCATTCTCCAGGCAAAGAAAAACAAATACAGAGTCTAGAGACACTGGGAAGGAAAAGAGCTGGTGAAAAACACACAAAAATTGTAATAATTCTGCGATGTTTAAAAACGAGAAATTCTTATAAAAAGCGTATCAGGGAGAGGTAAAAATAGTTAACGGTGGGTGAGCAAAATGTAAACAGACATGAAAGTCAGATTGTAGCATCAGTAGATCAATTGAAAGCAGTCTTTCAGAGTACAGACTGGGCAGAGGCAGAGAGTGGTTATCCAGCATTCATTGTGGAAACAGCAAATAATTGATTGAATCAAATTCCTACCTGGAATTGTATTTTATTTACTACATATTTATTATTCATTTGTTAAGCAGTTTAATGTTTATTTAAGAATTGACATCACAGCACTCAGGATATATCCATAAGTGCTCATTCCCATCTTCAGCAGCAAGTGTAGAGTTCCAATTTCAATGGTGCCAGTATCAGTCTGATTGTAAATCTGTCTCACCTTTACCCTGAGTTGGCTTTGAAGTTCGGTCAACTAATTTACTTTATTCGCTCATCTTCAGTCACCTTCGCCTTTAGTCATCTAATATTTCTTATTATTCTCATAACAGGTCATCGTCATCATCTGAACCAATCGTGGTCCCTTATCTAAGTCCGTTGGTGTTACGAAAGGAGGTGGAGTATGTTATCGACCACGAGGGAAACAGCTCCTTGGCCTCTGATACCTTCGTGGAGGAACACCCCATCATATACTGGAACTTGGTTCGAATGAATTAAAAAAAAAATTAAATAATGCATTAATATATTGTCATTGGTGTGAACAGGTTTCCTTCCAACTTAAACCCTTTCTAAGTGGGTTCCGGCCCTCCATTGGGAGGAGGGGGGGAAACAATAAACCGTCTGCCTCCTCAATAAGCATGCTGTAAAAGGGGAGTAATTGGAGGTATTTCCTTTGAAGCCTGAATGCATCTGCCTGAGAGGCAAGGAACCAAGAATCTGGATAGAAATAAGCCAGATCTGTAAAAGTTCTGGAATAAGGCCAAAGTCCAAAAGTGGACAAACAACAAGAACTTTCCAGGTTTACAGCTGGCCATCGCTAAGAAGAAGAAAGACTTACATTTCTGCAGATGTAGATAATAGACCATACTACATTAGGTTAGGTAATCAGACTTATCATTGTCAAAAGTCAGAAACAAAACGGGTTATTATTGGAAAAGGGGGGGGGGGGGGCCTAATCAAATTAATATATGTTTAACTAGACTGAAAGTATGTAAACCAAGAAAGATCTTGGGCATGGAATATCTCTGTCAGGTATCAGTAGTACATGTTTGATTCTCAGTTGTCCTGTGTGGGTTCCAGGGCCACATTTTATTTCCTGTGGAGGTGGGGGGCATAGAACCCCTGAGCCTTTCTCTCCCCACCCCTGCGAGCTTGTTGTAAAAGGCCACTATTTTAGAGGCTTGCTGAAATCCAATGTGTGGGTTTGAAAGGTGCAGATATTGCTGCCTATCTGTACACCACAATACAATGTGCCAGCTTCATTTTTAAAGGTAAATACAAATGAAGAGTAATCCTCAGATATGGCATGATTTTTTTTTTAAACCTGCCCAGTACACAGCCTAATGACCTATATAACTAGGTGCCATATGATTTTACAAAATTTTCTAAAGTGAGAGCTGATGAGGAAGGGAAATTGTTATGGGTTTAAAAAAAAAATGTTACCTGAACTATATAAAACATACACCTTAACATACATATACAAATATAAAACCACATGAAAAGTTATTGCACATACACTCCCACAGCTATAAACATCTTATCACATGTCTTGCCATTGGTTATGTTTTCTTTTGAGCTGTTGTATTTTAAAAAAAAAATAAAGCACTTGGTTGTCCTTTTAACTTGTTTTAACTTTTTACCAATGCCATATGCATATCTATACATTATATGTTTAGCCATGAACTCATTAAAGAACCCATAACCACACATTTCTTTCTTAAGATGGATGTCTGTGGCAGTAATGCATCTATTTAGCTTTATGTTGTCATTATTGCTTACCTCGGACATCGGCTGTGACTTTTGGACTGAAAGAGTTAATTTTAATTTATTTTACTCATATAATGATATGTTCAAGAACATTTTTTAAACGATAAACAAAAATAGAACCCATGCTTGGTTTTCTTTTAAAATTATTATATATTAGCCACTTGTCAGAAAAATTAAAATTTGATTTTGTTGTTAAATAATTGTTGTTATAATCATTTGCAGGTGTGGTTCTTTCGGCGTATTGAAATTCCAACCCACTTGACCGCATTCCTTTTGACATCCAAGGCTTTTAGCTGTAACAAGCCACAGGTACTTTATCAGAAGTCTTGTAACATGTGAACCACAGCAAAATGTAACACTTCGTTGTTTTCCCGTAAATGTTGTTTGACTGACTTTTCTAAAGTGGTTTGTTTCTAAGGTACCTAGTTAATGCCGTTTGTTGTGTTTTGCTATTTTGACGTATAATTTTCCCATAAATATTGTTAAACTGAATTTTCTGTAGTTGTGTGTTTCTGAGTTACCTAGTTAACGCCATTTGTTGTGTTTGTGTCCAAAAGAGCTATTTTGACACGTAATTTTCCCATAAATGCGGGTCAGTAGAATTCCTAGTCCCGTACATATCGGTTTGAATGGTTCTTGTCGGAAGCAGGTTTAAGAATTAAATACCTAGGAGTATATTTTCGAAGGACAGGAGAATAGATTGGGAAATAGATACAAGATGCCAATGAACCTGTGCACTAATATACCAACTAGCACATTTTTATTAAGACATCCAAACATAAGCGTGAGTGCTAAGAAACAGATTATAAATGGTGTATTCATACCAACACTGTGCTACCAGTGCTTGACTTGGACATTATCAGTGGCTAATGCACATAATATTAACACCCATGAAATGAAGTACCTGAGAAAGGTCGCCAACTTAACCATCAAAGACAAAGTTAGAAATGATATTGTTAGGGAGACTATAGGAACATCATGCAGCAAATTCATTGAGAAACTGAAGGTCAGATTGTTGGGTCATCTAGTAAGAATGCAGTCAGAGCAACTACCAATACAGGCACTAAATATAAAAAAATGGGAAGCGAAAGCAAGTCACTGCCCTAGAAGAAGATGGATTGATGACGTTAAAGAGCTTCTACATTGATACGGAATGTCAGGAGCCATTGCTGCCCATCAAGCAATGGAGCACCTGGTAGCCTGCCATAGCTCTAGCCACGATCCCTAGGGATCTTTGAGAAAAAATAACTGCAGTGATGAACTTAAGTGACAGTCTGAAAACAAACCCACAACCTTTAATGCGAGGCAAACAACTTCATCATTTTGCTACTTCTTAAAAAAGAAAAGTAACCAAGATTTTTCTATGAAACAGATTGGTAAAAGTATAATGGGGTGATTTATGTCACAGGCATGAGGGAAAATGAAGGCCAAGGAGATACTCCATACCTCACCCGGGTGCCAGTTGGCTCTATGCTGGTTTTACAGATCCTCATGCAAGACTCCTGCCACATGTTCTCATTGTACCCTATGGATAATGGGTCATATTGGCTTAAACAGAGCTGGCAGGGGATCTTGGAGATGCAACGTCAAGAAATCATTTGGCTTTCATCAGCCCGTACCCCATGCATGGATAATATCATCAGTCAAAAACTCATTTAAAACATGTATGAAGCTGACTGGCTAAATATCCTATTATATAACAAACTTAGTTCAAATATCTGTTAACGAAAAGTCCTTCTGCATTGCTGCGAACTGTTGAGACTCAGCCCTTGACGGTGAGATTTGTTTGCAGCTTAGATGAGCAGCATCTTCTGTAGACAGCATATTGCAGTTCAATCATATGGCATAACAGCAAAGTTTGTGTGTGTCCGACCAATGAATATTTTACTGTATGGGCAAGGTTCAGAACGTTACCATAGGCCCCACTGATAGAAGTGTTGGGACTAAACAGAGAAGCCATGTTGGATGTGTAATTTTCTTATACTGTTGTGCTAGGTTTCCTGATGCAACCACCATTAAAGGTGGGTTTCCTGATGCAACCACCATTAAAGGTGTCTAACGTCATTGAAGTCCTGGACCTGTGAGCTGCTCCTTGTTGTTCTCCGGAGAGCGCATCCCACAATGACTTATGGTAAACTCAACATAACGGATGTTAGGTTGAGCTGTCATATGCAGGTCATGACAGTTCCTTATTTGAGATAGGACCAGAACATCATGTATCAGCCCCGCATTTATTGAAGCGTTCTTGGATGGTGGGAAAAGCTTTTTGACCAAAGGAACAAAAAAGGAAACCACACAAATAAGGCTTCATCATATCACACGAAACAAATGGGAAGGCCAACCCGCTGAAAAAATTCCCATTAAAGTTAGATATGTTGGCCAAATGGTTCAAATGTCACAGCTATGCTGTAAACATACGCAACACAATTACATCACTCTGAGATGAAGAAGAAGAATATTAGAAGTTTATAGTGTATTGTATATATTTTATTGTTTTTATTTTATCCTCAGAATATAGCAAAATATAAAGACATGTACAGCAACCGCAACATTTTGATACGGCCTCAGTGGGATAATGTGAGAATACATGATGAGATTGGTCTTCCTATGTATTCAGCATGGCGGGCAGGTTTGTGGACAGAACTTCGTCAGCTCTTAACTCTTTTAGTATTTCTTCAACTACTTATTTTCTGAGTCTTCTCTTGCTCTTTCTTCTTCTTTTTTTTTTAAAATCGGTGTTTTGACCTAAAAATTGTCTGCTGAATTACTTATGAATAGAAAATGTTAACTGGTGTCTATAGACAGAATAGAGGGAATTAAATGATAGAATCCTTAATACTGAATTTTGGAGGAGAACAACAAATTCCAGTGAATCAAGAAATGAAATAAAGACACTGGTGTTGCATATTACACTTTGAGAAAACCTTAGTATAATATAACTGAAATGTCATTGCACTGGAACACAAATGTTCATAGAAATAAAGATAGACACCCAAAAAAAATTAAGAAGCAGGCCAATGAGTACAAAGATGGGGAGGATAACGGATAAGCAGCGTACAAAAACACATTGTAGGACATGTCCCTGAGTTGGTTGGAGGCTTATGCTCTATTGGAGGGAAAAGGGCAGAAGAAAAAGATGATGATGACAAAGTGACCTCTGCTATGGCATAAAGATGTCTAAAAGCAAGACGTGAATGATACAGGTATTGAGATAGATTCCTGGGAACAGGATGCCTTGTAATGCATGGAGGGGGAAAATCGGCAGAACAGAGATAAAGGAGAAAATGATTACAGAAAGGCTAAGAGCTGAGCGTCACAGCAATAACAAAAATGAAATCCTATGATCTTTCTATGGATGACTTTCTTAACAGTCCCACTCTCAATGGCAGTGGTCTGGTGATTTCTATGCCAGCTTTTGGCACATATAAAACTATCGTCTGGAAAGATAAAAAGAAAAGAGCAGGCGTCTGCGAAAGCTCAAAAATGAAAATTAACGTCAGAGACAGTCGGTGTTAGAATAACGTTTGATGCAGAATAGGTTTAGTGTAATTACTAGATAGGCTACAGGAATTTGGAAAAGTATAATATAAATAAAAAATGGTGAGTTGCTTTGTAGCGAATGAGTTATTTGAAAGCAAAAACATCTAATAAGAGTGTGGAACTCTTATGTACTGAAGTCGTGAGCAGTACTTATTTAACTTTGAGTTCTGAGAAGTCTAGGGTGCCATGGT